AGGTGCTCCCTGCCTTGCAGGTCGCCGTGTGCCCCCGCGGAGTTGTGCCTTTTCGTTACTGCCGGGCTGTATAGCAGCAAGCGTGCATAAACTTTCGTTGCCTGTTCGCGTCTCTTCTCTCTTGCATAGGTGTTCGGGGATAGGCATGACACGCAGCGGTTTACCCTAGGTGTGTGTGGCGTTTTACAGACGGGTTTGAAAGTTTTGCAATTTGCAGATAACGAGATTTGTTTGTGGAGGTGTGTGGTTGGCTTCCATCCTACCCTCCAACTACGTCTGACAAACGAGAAAGGTGTGAGAGCTTGCATCTGGTAATTGTATCACCTATAAACTTGGTGGTGGAAACTTATCCGCATTCTGAGGCTCAAGACAGTTGGCATGGGTGTAATGTGTTCTTCTCCCACCTCTGTAGTTCAGGGTCTGATCCTGGAGTCTTGTAAGTACAAATTCTAGTTCTGTATTTCCAGGAGTGTTCATATGGGGAAGAGCTGCGGGATTGTGTTCGGGATTACTGTAGTCTGTTGAATTCCAAATGAACTCTCCTTCAGTACAGAAGGACTCCTGATGTTGTTTTCCATAGTCACTTCAATGCAAAACCAAGTGTGAAACATAGGCATAATGACTTACTGGAATTTTACATAAGCAAAAAAGGGTGTCTGAAATGTTACGCAAGATACAGAGAATCAGGTCCAGAGCCTGAAGGCAGAAAACTTAAATGTATCCCACTGGTTCTGAGTAAAAGGCAAAAAAAGGGGAAAGGATTGTAGTGGCTGAGAAATACCATCTCTTTGCACTTGCACAGAGATATTCAGTATGTGGGAAGCCTCCTGAGAGAGCACCACATTGAAATGATTCAGAGTTAAAATATTGGAAGCTTAATGTATAGATTGCATGTGTTTCTGCTTCTCAGCATTGTGATGAGGGAGAGAAGGGGGAGGGAAGAAATCCTGCCTGTAAAAAGTTGCTCTGTCAGTCAGTTTTTTTGATAAAGACATTCATTTTAAAAAGTTACCTAAGCTGTATGTAGTCAAGGGCAAATACAAATAAATTACTGACAGAGCAATTAATCTTTTTGAAGAATGATGCTAGCAGAGTGGCTTAGGGGGCACAATTGCACTAGGAAGAGCTTTTCAAACAAATGTAACCATTCTTGTAATACGAGTGGAAGTTGACTGCAAGATAGTTTCAGAGGTCTGCTTTTGTTCTAATGTAATCTAGATTATTAATCTAAAGTGTGGGTTTTTTTCTGCATTTCCCTCCAAACTTTTCAAAAAGTCAAACTAATTGCTAGGTAGTGTGCACAAGAATATAGTCAAGGAGGTAAGCAAGGAGACTTCCTTATTATTAGCTAACTTCAATAATTGGCTAAATATACTTTAGCTATGTCACAGGCTTATTCCAAGGATCATCTAGAGAAGAACAGCAGCAGTCTGTGCCTGTAAATGTTTGTCTTTGTGAAATGTTAGCATGGTTTATATAACTTAAAAAGAGAAAAAGCCCTTAGAGTTCATCATGATACGAACTTATTCTCGTGAACTTATTCTCATCCCCACTTAGGAGCTCCTGCTTCAGTGTTGGAATGATCTTCTGTAATCGTGCACATATAGAAAGGGAATGTTGAATAAGATTAGAAACATAAAACTCTGCTGCTTCGTAAGTTTTACCCAGCTGCTTGGTGATTTCACAGCTGTTTCTGCAGTTGATAACAATTTCCATCACTCTGCTTTTTGCAGGGTTGTCACACTGCTCTGCTGCAGATTCTGCCTTGTCCCTATTTGAGTTATGAATCTTGTTTTAAAAAATTAGATGACTGAAATGAAGAACAGTAAATATAATGGAATCATGTTTAATACAGTGAGTTCTTGGACTCAGTTTGCCTTTTTTTTTGAGAGGAGTTTTTGGGATTGTATTACTTAGGTTTTTGTTACAGCAGAATAGATTTAAAAGGTTTTTTTTAGTGGAAAGCATGTTGTCACTGTCAGTTTACAGCTAGGAAACCAAGGCACAGGGAGCTGAAGTTATTTGCTCAAAGAAACTGGAGACATAGAAGAGACAAAACCCCAAGTATTCTGAGTCATGATTTCGTTCTTTGACTCACATAGGTGAAGTGAGCAATAGAAACGAAGTTAAATGAGATTTTTAACTACAGAAAATCATGTGCATTACCTTTTCCTGCCTAGCTCTTTCTGGGGGGCTTGCCTGGGTTGTGACACTCATCATCGAGACGTCACATTATCAAAGGAAAATGTTACACAGGGCCAGAAATGGGTGGCTGCTGCCAAGAAAAGAGGCAGAAACCACTAGGAGAGCCAGAGGGAGAACATCTCCTGCTTCGGTTAGGTTAGGAGCAGGGGTCAGCATACAGCGGGAGCTTTTCCATGCAGGAGTTTTGTTCTTAAGAAGCTGATAAATATCCAACAACTTTTCTTGTAGGAAACTTCCATGCTAGAATATTGTCACCTCCACTTCATCATTCAGCAACATTTGACACTTCAAAGCCTGGAGCAGCCCTTACTGCTGCATGACTCTGCCTTGAATTGACATACGAGACATCTTAAGCAGTCTTTCTCTGCTTACGGAGCCAAGGGATTTGTTACGATGGATTTCTCATGGACCTGGTAGGTGTGTGTGCTGATGGATTTCATGTCTTTTCAGTAAATCTCAACTTACACTTATTACTGGGTAAAGCATTCCTCTCCCCTTTAACCAGCGTTAGCCACAGATTGCCACAGAAACACATTGTTCCGTCAAGTCAAAGTAGCTCCTTAAGAAAGTACTTCTAGTATGATTAGTGAGAGGATGCTGGTGTTGCCGGGTATCTTTGCCTAAATTTCTTACCCTGAAACTTAAACCAAGTCACCTGTTGGCGTAAGTCAGAAGTGACTTTGCTGGCAATGGGGATCTAGTGCCCTGTTTTCTAGGGCTGAGTACCTTTACTCACACTTCAAATAGGTTCTGTTGTTTATTTAACGTACGGTATTTCAATAGAGGTTTGTTTATTTGTTTTGTATGAATGCCTCTCTGCTTATATCCTATTACAGGAAAGAACTGTGCTCCTCAGAAGTCAACAGGTATTTTGCCATTGACTTAATTTTGGTAGTTTAGGAGATTTTTTTAAAAATTCATGTTAGTTTTGACTGTATAAAAATATCTTTTTTCTTCATAAATCTCTGTACAAGACATCTAAGAGATTTAATGCTCATTGGGGATGTAACTGAAGCAGAGGGACAAGGACTCTAGAGACAGGAGTAAATATACTTTGATTGAATGTTAAAGTTTTTCAGAATAATCGTGTTTATTATGAGCCAAATCCAATTTCAAGTTATTGGGAGTTTCCCTATTTCTGTGACTGTTAGAGTATTTGCACTTTTGAATAGTTATTACACTGTATTTGGAGCTAAGAGACCTTTTATAGGGAAAATGGTTAATTTTTTTCCTCAAATTTAATAATAAAATATTGAACAAATTGAATTTGGCTAATGGTAAGATCAATAAAAGGTGACATTTGGGGACCACATTCTGCCGTTGTGCTGAACTTCTGTAACGTTTTATGGATAAGTAATGCAGCAACATAATGGCACCAGTGTGAGTCTCACTGCCGTGTAGGTCATTATGGAAAACGCAGAACTTGAGGTCAGATCCATGTGGGAACAGATCGATGGCGCTTTAGAGCAACCCCATGGCTTTCCTGGGCTCTCTCAAATGATATAAAAGGTACTTAATCATGCGTTAGAATTCAAAGGACAAAGCAACTGAACCTAGGAGAACCTGGGATATCTAAGGTGTCAGCACAGATATATTTGCTTTGTCTGATAAGCACTGATCAGATCCCCTGCCTGCTTTTGGGGATACCAAGTACACAGAAACACACAGAATCACGGAATGGTTGTGGTTGGAAAGGACCTCTGGAGGTCATCTGGTCCACCCCGTGTCCCGCTCAAGCAGGGTCTCCTAAAGAAGTCTGCCCAGGACTGTGGAGATGACTTTTGAATGCCTCCAAGGATGGAGACTCCAAAACCTCCCTGGGCAACCTGTTCCAGTGCTCAGTCACCCTCCCAGTAAAAAAGTGTTTCCTGATGTTCAGACGGAACCTCCTGTGTTTCAGTTTGTGCCCATTGCCTCTTGTGTTGTCAGTGTGTGTGCTCAGTGTGCGCTTGGTTGTGCTGTACTCAGTGTTGCTAGGGAGGGAAAGGCTACTCTGTCTTGTAGCTGCTAGGCCCCTTGCAGGATTGAGCCCTGAAGATAGCTGTGTACAGCAAGATACAATATTGAGCTGAGCACTCTTCCTTAGAGCAGTAGAACAAAAGCTTTGTCAAACCAGATCTGAACTTTCCTTCTCTCATCAGGGTTCAAGGAAACTCAGATACAAACTCTCTGACTAGATACAGAGTGTAGCCTGTTTGTGTTTAAAAATAGTGAAATCCTCTTTCTTGCAAAATACACAGTCCGTTACATGAGGTACTGAGATACAAAACCAAGGGCTCTCCACAATGGACAAATATATCTTAGCAACAAGGGTGGGAGTGGTGGGAAAGGAAAAGGAGAATACAAGTATCTGGCAATTAACTTCCTAGTCACAGATGTGAAGGTGATAAAAGTGATAAAAGCATTACTGCATTGCCAACGCTCTTCAACTGCGTGGCCAGCGCTCTTCCTTGTTCTCTGAGCTGCATACCATGCTGCTCATAGGATCAAAAGCTACACAGCCCGTACCGGAGAGTGGTGGAGGAGTTCTGTGAGCTACTCCCAGCAGGAAAACCCAGTGGTTCCCCAGTGTCCCCGCTTCTGTTGGATGTAGCGGGGTGCACTGAGCGCACAGCCAGGGCAGCATAGCCGTGGTAGCCTCAGCATTGTCAGAGGCTCACTGCAGACTCCAGGGCGGCCCCCACACCAGCAAGAGTCCCAGTGAGATGGCAGAGGTCTGTCATGACAGCCTGTAGCAGTGGAGAGCCACGGGCTCATCTTGCCCTGATCAGGTGGACTCCAGTTCTGCACTGGGCTCCACGGAGCCAAAAGCTATTTTGCCTCATAATGCAGATGCAATCAAACTGTGCATGCTCTCTGTGGGACTGAGAGTGTGTATACGATATGGAGACAGGAGGAAAGCAACCTACTGTAACTAAGATGAGTGAATATGACTGTAAATCTGCCTCCCGCACAGTAACATGGATGTGGTTTCATGGATTTGTAAGGGACCCATTACTTTTGCATTAAGCCAATTTAAATGGCAAGCTGACAGTCTGGCATTGATGTTGCTGTAATGGTAGGTTCACCAGCTTTCAGCTGGCATTTGCTGAGTGCAGGAACTGTCTTCATCCCCATTCCCCCCACATCCATACCTAGTCATGACCATTTGAATTTTTTCGCTAAGTAGCGCTTGCCTTGAGAAAGGGTTCACTGTTCAGTCCTGTTTTTTGCTGGGCCAGTTCTTGCCCATGTTATTGTGATGCGCATTGGAGCAAATCTGGGTAACGTGTGTATAGGTGTATATATAAAGAAACAGTGTGAAAAAGTGTGTGAGCAAGAGTAGAATTTTTAACCAAAGCAGCCTATGAACTTCACCTCCTTGTCAGAAGATGTAATGCCATTGAAATTTAAACTGCATCCAGAAATACTGACTTCAGTATATAACTTAAAGTGGGATTTGGCCCATAACACTTTAAGGTCGGTGTCTGTCTTGGTCCGTGACTCTGTTCTTTCTAGCACTTATGCACATGCTGATGACTACTGTAACAATTGATTCAGATCCACCACAATCGGTAGTGTTATAATTAAGCTTGTGCATAAATCCTCACGGGGTCAGAGTGTCTGCTTGTTTGCGATCCCAAGTGGGATACTTCTGTGTCACCCATTTGTCACATAATGGTAATGCTTCTTAGTTGAACTCATGCTCTTCTCTCCACAGTGCAGTGCGTGTTCAGCAGAGCCTGCTCTAGCCTAAGAACTGACTAAGTCAAGACAATCAAGATGACAAACGAACCTATTAAAGAGATCCTGGGTGCTCCAAAGCATCCTGATTCTGTAACCACAGAGAAGAGTAATAACAATGACACTGTGATAACCACCATCCCTCTTGTCAGTGAATGCCAGCTGACTGCAGCAACAGGAGGAGCAGAACTCTCCTGTTACCGCTGTACCATTCCTTTCGGTGTGGTTATCCTCATAGCCGGCATTGTGGTTACTGCTGTGGCATACAGCTTCAATTCCCATGGATCAATCATCTCAGTGTTTGGATTAGTCCTCTTGTCATCAGGACTCCTTTTGCTGGCTTCTAGTGCAGTGTGCTGGAAAATCAGGCAGCAAAACAAGAAAGCAAAGAGGCGGGAGAGCCAGACAGCGCTTGTGGCAAATCAGCGAACCTTGTTTGGTTAAAGACAACCAAGAGAAGGCTGGACAGAAAACAGAACCTTTGTAAGTCAACTTGGCTATTTATCAATAGGAGAGATTGCATGTTTTAATTTAACTTTGGAAATGAACTGAAATGAAAATGGAATGGATTAAGAAAGACTCCTAAAAACTCTGCAAGTGCTCTTAATATTTTTCTTACTGCAGACTTGGTAGTGATTCTTTCCATGGTGGAAGAAAAAACACTTTTCCTTCACAGAAAACAGTGTCGTCATAACTGCAATCATCATAACTGCGTTCTCCAACATGCTGATCATGTTGGAAAGGGAACTTGTGAGAACTGAGAAAATAATTTGAACTGACTTGAAATGCCAGAGATCTCCTTAAAGTACACACTGTGACATTTGACCAAGGGAGAAGTCATAGCATTTGAAGTGACTACAAGGTTATGGCCAGATTGTTTGTGACTTAAATTGTAGCTCAAAAAAACCCAAACAACCAATAACAAACAATCAAACTGCAGATTGCTCAATAAGCTGATTCTTATATTTTATGTAACTTCCCCCCCCCCAATATCTGTGGTACTTTCCCCCTTTTTTAAACCAACTAATATGAATTTTGCTTTACTATTGAATAGAAATAGGTAGAAATGTGTAATTTTATTGTCTAACCTAAATAACGAGGTATGATTATAGCTTAAAACATGACACTTTTTTTGTAAATTGAAGTGGTCAGGTTTAGCACTTTTGATTATTTTGCTATAAAATTAAAAAGTAAATTTCATTAAAATAATATTCAGTGCTGCTAGACCTTTAGAAAATCTTTTTCTGTTGCTAGCAAGATAGCTTGTATCTTCAACGTCGACTGCTTTATGATTCTATTTTTGTAAAAAAACACCTGTGGCAATTACTGTCAACATATGTACTGCTGACCTCTTCCAAAAATCTTTATAGACTATGGATTTTGGTTTGATAGCATGGTCCTCTTGCAGCTTGATTAACAACTCAGTTATTGAAAAATCATAATGGTCAGTTCTGCAGACACTCCTGGGATAGTCAGATTTAGACACAACTATTAATAATTACTTGTGGAAGCAAAGTCATCTGTGTAGTCAGTGTTTGCTGAATGAGCTTTGGCATTACCGATCTTTACGAAAAGCAGGTCTCAGGTGCCCCCTGTGTGTGTCTGAGATGTTTGATTCTGTAACGCTTGTGTTCCAGAGGTCTTCCAACTTTTCTCAGGTAATGAATAATTGAGGTGCTGGTCGAAAATTGAAGCAAAACAGAACATTTCTTCATCTATATCATGAAGGACAAGTAGTGCTGAGCCAAGTGACAGATCACAGACTTCCACCCCAGTGTTATGAGGGTGTCAGAAGGCAGAGGGGCTGCATGAAGTCCTCATTCTTTCTTTTTTTTCTCTCTCTCCTTTTTTTTCCCCTTACTTTCTCCAGACTCAAAGGGGCTGGATGTGATTTTTGCTTTCCCCTGCTACAGCGAGCGAGGCCTGTGCTCGCGTGCCTCCTCTTTGCCCTCTGGAGCCTTTGGCATCCACAACGGCTGTGGCGATGCCGCTGCAGAGCACACCTGCCAAACAGGTGCCGCAGGGGATAGCCGCCTGTGGGTCATCCCGGAGCCATACGTTTC